CATTATAATGAACACCTTTATAATGAACTTCCTGATATAATGAACACATAGCATGTCTCCCGTTCACAAAAAACCCAATGTATTATGTGCTTCATTATAGTGAACATTTCACTATAACAAACTAATTGTATGTCCTCCAAAGAGTTTGTTATAAGGAAACTACAATGTACTAAGATGATTTATTTCATATTATAAATCTCAACAATTAAAATTTAAGTTTTTATAACGCTTTTATCACTCGATAATGTAAACTTCTATTTGCAATAAATTCATTTCAACAAAAAATTAAAAGAAGTTTAACTAAATTTGTTTGATGGTGATGGTTAACAATAATAATGAATTGCCGTGAAGAACATGCATGTAGTGGAAACAAAATAGAGTGAACTATATATAATATAAAGAATACAGCTATGGTAATAACATCAAAATAGACAATTCTTTTCACTGCAAGATCCTGCATTATGCGTGAAATCAAACATTGAATGACAAAAAAAAGAAAGTTCAAATTCAAATCATCTGGTCATTGACACATTACACAGTATCTCAAAAAAAATAGTAATGATCAATAATAAATGCTTAAAGTATTATGAGGTTATCATCTGGTATCACTTGTTGGTAGTGCTGATTGATACAAGTGACATCATGGCCTAGGATTATTCATTAACAGAAGATGCTGTACTGTAAAATACTTTATTTTCGCTTTATTCGCTGAAGAAATGATTCAGTGAAAATAAAATCCAGCGAATATACCTTTTTTCCATATTTTACATTCAACTCGTCAAAAATCAGTGAAAATAAATTCCATACAAAACACCCAAAAAGTCTTTTCAGCAAAAATTACAGTAATTTACTTTTTGCAAGCCTTTTTGTACTGTTCTCCATCTACAAAACCACATTCATCCAGGTAATCTGAAACTAATATACATGTAGTGTGGTGTTTACTTACATGCAAATTTCTACCACATGAAATGAAATTATTGGTATTGCTCTGGCAAGACCCCAACCCTTATTTTTTTAATTTTCTGAGCATAGCGTAAGCTCAACATCTATAGCCATAGTCCAGGGTTTCAAGTGACCCTTCATATCGGTAACTGGTCGGAAATAAACATAACAATTTACACATGTATATCTTTCATTGAATATAAAACGTCTTTAATATGGACTTTGAAAATATGAAATATTTTTAAAAACTATTGCTGAAATATTTTCAAAAACTGAAACAAAACTACTTATAAAGAAGAAATATTAACATCTGTTGAGTGATTATTTAACTGTAGTGTAGCTTTGAATACAATTTTCTTGAGAATCAGCTAACCATGTTTATTTTCAACACCAGCTTCTTGGGCATTTGTAATTTACGTGTACAGTACAGTCCCTGTGTACATGTGCAATTTAACTTTTAGCTAGCTTTCAGTTTGCTTTCAAAATCATTGTTTGTATGAGTACAGTTGTCTCAAAATTAGCTTAGGATTTTTCGTCCAAAATGGAAACTAGTGTTACGGGACATTTCTAATTATTTGCCATACTTTGGGTATAAAAGCACTTTGTCTGAAATGATTGAATTAGGACATTTTGAACATACATATATGAAACACTTTGTGTATGTACTAGTAATCTGCCTCTATATGTTTCTTATTAGTAACATAGGTAAATGTTATAAAATAATAAAGAATTTATTTATGACAATAATTCTTACCATAAGAAGTGTTGTTATTTTTGAAAGGCAAAATCAACTGAGAACAAGCTCGGGAGTTACACTCAGATTGTACCACACTCAGTTTTTACCATTCTACAATACAATTGGATCCATGGAATAAGAATTCAGGATTTTGATCCTCAAAATAGGATCCCATAACTATGGAAAAAAACTGTTAGTAAATTTTGTATTAAAGTGCCTCAGTTTGAATATCATTTAAATTTCATAAAAAAAACAATGTTATGTCGCAAACATCAATATTGGAAAAAATTATAGTATTTTCCAAATCATTAGGCTATTTCTGGTTCTGACTTGTTCCAAAAAGTATGCTGTGACGCACCTTTTTTTTTTGACATTCTTTCATTTTTACAGTATTTTTGCTAAAACCAGAAAAGAAAATCTGTGACATGCACACTGACAAAAAACAAATCATTTATTCAAATTATTGTGATTACATTTACATGTATCTGAAAGGTTACACTATATATGATATGAGATGAATACTTTGTTTAAAGTAGTGAGAACATTTAGTAAAAACAATACTGGTTTCCTATATTATCCAGAATTGATGCCAATAAAAGTGTCACTTCATGTAGAACTCAATTTGTGGGTATTTATCAATTCATAATACAGCAAATACAATTTTGTAGATTATCTGTAATACTCTATTTATGTAGACTATATCTTGATTATTTTAATCTTCAACAAAACTGTTACTCAGACCACTAAATTGCTATTGACAATAAAACAGTTTTGAATAGACTTCTTGAGTAATTTATTTGTTTATTGAAGATATATATAACAGTCATATTTATTTTTATAAACAGTTCAGCTATAAATGTATAATATGTCGCTCACTTTAATCTACAAAAAGCAATCAAAAATGAAAAATATTGAAAGCTAAATTTAACTGTTTTGTAATTATAATGGTTTAAACATATGTCTTAATCATCTTGAATTTTTTGTACAGTGAATTACATATGAATAATTTATCTTCAATAATTACTCCCTGTAACACTTTTGGCTTAACACTATAATTGTAAACTGTTGTATTTGTAAAACAAATGTACATGTACGCTTTTTGCAGTATTTAAATAACTTTTCTAGTAGATGTACCGTCTATGATGAAATTATCTAGGCTGACAGATATCTTGACTAGAATATATCTCTACCCTACCGCAGTATGCCTCGCACTAATAACTCATTACGATTAGCTATTTAAGGTAGATTTGATAGTTGACTAAAAATGTCAATCACCCAAAATCACACTAATGCCTTGCGGCAATGCATCATGGTCTGGTATTGACCAAAGATTTGATTGGTTGAATGAAAATGTTAACAATGTAAACAATGTCAATCATTTGAGAATGCACTAATGCCTAGCTACAATGCCAGCAATATCTCATCATGGTCTGCTATTGAACATAGATTTGATTGGTTGAATGAAAATGCTGTCTATCTAAACATTGTCAATCATTGTCTGGCAAGTGAGAACACTGTAGAAACATTTACAGTAAAATCTGTCTAAACTGCATTCATATTTGTTCATATGAAAAAAATACTTCTATAATGATAATAAACTAAAAACCTGTTTAAGTTGAGTCTCCTAGGTGTTTGGTTTAGACAGGTTTCATTGTAAGAAATGTACCTCTATAAACCAAATATTTCTGTGAATAAACTACCCGGTAATAGGTTTTTTATACAGGTTCTCATCTGGCCAGACTCTGACCCCAAAGTTATGTAGAGGTCAGCATTACACACACCTACTGACTGTTAACGTTTGCTGTGATCACACCATATGTATTTTCTTTATGACAATAAGCATGTCAGAATGCAATTTGTCACTCCAATTCATACTAATTATTCTAATTATTTCATTTGCAATAAATGATCAAAGCTGTAGTTCATAACAGAATATTTCATATTTCTTGAGAACTCTACTCGATCAATTCACACTACCAGTAATGTAGTGAAAAAACTTATCATGCAACTTTGTGTTATAGTTGCTGAGATCATTCTTCTATTATAAAGCGAAACTTCATGAATTCAATCTACCCCCCCCCAGAACACCATTCGACCGTCAGACTATATAA